CCGGGGGTGAGGGGTGTTTGTGGCGGTTGGCGGGCGGGCCGGCAGCCACTTGGCCTCGCCCGGGGGTTCACTGGGGTGTCAAATCCCGCCTGTTCCCACCTCGCAGCCCGGGGGGGCGGGGCAAGAAGTATGTTGCCCCATAATCCTAATCTGTCTCTTGTTTAGGCCCCCAATCCCATCCTAATCTGACCTTCGTTTAGGCCCCCTAATTGCCATCCTGGTCTGGCCTTTGTTTAGGCCCCAAAATCCCAACCTAATCTGACCTTCTCTTGGGCCCTCTGGTCCCATCTTAATCTGGCCTTCGTTTAGGGCTCTGCACTTGATGTGGGATGTGATTTATACCTATTAATTAGGACATATGCTGAGGAAATGAAATACATTCTTCTTCTTGAGGATGTCTAATTCATTCACAGCAAATTTGTAAGGGGTCTAGATTACCTTTGAAAAAGGAGCCGGGCATAAAGAATGAGCCGGGAATAAGCAACGCGCTTAAGCCTCGTGGGCAAGGTGGGGTTGCTATTGTAGAGGACAGTTTGGTTTTCAGCTACTCTGTCCTCTATTGATACAAAATCCTGAGGCATGGGCGACTGGTGCCACTTTAGTAAGGGGGGGGGGGCATATGCCCCCCCAACCCAGTAATCAGTCAGCTACTGGGGAGTGTCCCCCATGGCCAATCTCGCTGACCAGGGGGCACAGCCAATCTCGCTGACTGTGGATGATCATGCTGTCTGGGAAGTGGCCGTGGTGCTTCATCTGGTGCTCGAAGGGGGGGCACTGGTACTCCTGCCTGCCTGTTGCCTAAGCGGGGAGCATGGCCTGTCGGGGTACATGCACACCCCCTACACGTTACCACTGCCCAAAGGCGGTGGGTTTCATATCGATAGAGGATAGAGGACAACAGGACTGTCCTCTATGATAACCACCCTAGAGCAAGGGCTTTGCACAGCTCTAGCATCAATATTTTTGTCCCGGGATAAACTGGTGGGTTGTTTTTAGCCTGGGATCCCAGGGAAGAGCTCTGAGGTTTTGTTCGGGGGTCTGTGACACCAGTATTGCCAATTCTCATGATCTGGGAAGTTGTTTTTAAAGCTTACACTTTGGGAATGTGAACACCTTAGCTCTTTTATACATATACAGTATATGAATATATATAAAAGAAAGAAGGAGCTAAGTTGTTCACATTCCTGAAGCATAGACTTTAAGAATCACAATCATGAGAGTTGGCAATACTGTGACATGTAGAGGTTGACAAGCAAAAAATGTTTCCCTGAGCTCTCGGTGCCTTCCTGCTTCTGAGGTTTGGAGAAACCAGAGCATGGATGTCTGGATGCAGTCCCTGCTCTCACTAGGCCTTCGTGTGAGGACAGCTCAGTACCTGTGTGTAAACTTTTTAGAGCAGGTTCTGTGTTGGTACCTGAGAGGGCTCTTGGGTCTTGAGTACAAATAAAATAATAATAGCCTGTTAGCTCCTCTGAACCCCAATTTTCCCATCTGTAAAATAGAGGTAGCAGTTACATACCTCCCAGGCATGCTCTTAATTTATATTTGAATGAAAAGTGGTTGATAGTGTGTGACTTTGTGCTAGTGGAAATGACAGCGGCTGCTTTGAGAGGTTAGCGCTGGCTGCTGCTGATCTGTCATACCTGGTTGAAGTACTTCAGCCTTTTGTGGACAGCCTTTTGGGGCTCTTCCTGGCTGCTGAGTTGAGTGTGGGTCTCTACTATTGTACCCTACCATAGAAAGTGGCTTTTTGGAAAATGGCCTGCTGTTTGAATAGCTCCCACCTGCCTCTAACAACTTCCCAAGCCAAAGAGTGTGAAAGTGAGAGGATTCTTCAGTTTCACTGCTGTACCCGACTTGTGAATAGTCATGAAGGAAATGAGTAGAGTTCTGCGCATTTCATTCTCCTGAGCAAGTAGCTCAAGTTGACCTGCAGTCTTGGACAGGTCAGGCTGTGTCCTGTTACAGGCACTTCACAGTGGGTGCATCTACACGTGCACTTTACTGTGGAGCTGACTGATTATTAGCTTTGCAGTGAAGTGTCACTGTCTACAGGTGTGCCTGTGTTAGGGCGCAGTAAATTAACTCCACTTCAGGATAGTACTGTCCAGGACAAGTACTATCCCACTTCAGAGTAGTTGCATGCACCAAAATGCACGTGTAGGCAGTAACCGGGGCTGGCTGGAGCATGAGGGTACCCTTGTGCCCCAGCTGGCCCCTCCACTGCATGTTGAGCTATGGTGAAGCACAGTGGGCTGGCAGGCTGACCCTCCAGGTGCTCTGCCAGCCAGGGCTGCTCTGACCTAGCTCAGTGTGCTGTGATCTTGGGTGTACATGTAAACACTGTGGCTGGAGGCAATAAACTCTGGTGTGAACTGAACTGGAGTTTATCATTACGTGCTAATTGCATGTGTAAATGCACCCAATTTGTAGTTACCTTTATTACTATTAGATTTTGCTTTTACTGAAAGTTTAAATTGTTCACCATTTGATGATTTAGGCTTCAATGTTTGTTAGTCAAAGCAAACCTTTTAGCTACTGGCAAATAGATTTTTTTTTCAAGTCTGGATAATGAGTCTACCCTAAAATGGGCTGTGTACATTGTTCTCACTTCCACACTCTAAACATTGTGTTTGGAGATTTTACTCCTCTCCCCATAAGTGTTTATATGAGATGTTTTTGGCTGAGTAGGGCTCCTTACAGATTTCCTTGAACGAACTTTTAGGAGGTAGATTTGGATTATGAGACTGCAAGTCCTAAGTGGTCCTGCTTGAACTATAGTTGACCACTGATTTACCAGCCAGTGCCAGGATATCAAAGAGAATACACACTCATGAACCGAAACATGTAATTGGGTTTGAATAGACTCTCTAGCTCTTTCTAGGAAGGGCAGGTCTCAGGCAACTGTATAAGGCTAAAAAGGGCATCATGCAGCCCCTTCCTCAGTAGAGGAATTAACCTGAGAAACCTGCCTCTGTGTCTGTTGGTCTGTGAAGCCTCTGGAAACTCCTTGAGCTATGCAGAGGCAAATCTGGGATGACTGAAACTTTATTACTATACAAAATACTGGGAAGACTTTAAATAAAGTGTTGCTGACCCCTCCAACTTTTTTCCTGAGAAATTTCCCAAATCCTTTAGCAGGATTTTCATGCTGTGTTTCATTTATCCTCATCATAAAGCTATCTCGAGTCCAGATTCTGCTCTGCTTTGGCTTCCAGCTTCTTTTGAAATCCATCATAAAAACTTCCATCATAACATGCCTTAGTATAACATGCAAATGCATTGGCCTCTAGACTAGAGCACCCTTACAGAGTGGATGTATTAATGTATATTATGTTTCTCTGCTGCCACTGGGATGGAAGATATAATGGAGTTTGCATTCCTTAAGCAATATAGGTCACCATATTAAAAAAAATACCCATAGTAAAGAATTCCATCAAACTTACAGCTTTGACTTTCCCTTGGCAAGAATTTCAGTTGCTTTTTAGTACAGAAAATTAAATTGTACGTGTTTATTTGGCTTTTGAAAGCTAGAATATTTCTGTTATGCTTTTTTGAAATGCACATAATTTTAAATCGGTGCTACCTCACGCAACTATAATATATGAATGATACTTCAAAGAAGCATTTTTTTTAGTTAATTTCTTCTTATGCTGGCACATCTGCAATGTGGAAATAATGGCACAGCCTAAAAAAAACCCTGTGCTTTGAATGATGTTATCCTAATTACTGTTAAATCAAAATGTTGCTTTCCAAAGTGGAATCTGTGGGCTTGCCTAGCTTGTGAAGTAAAATACATTTTCCAAAGCTTGTTTAATTTAAAATAAATGTGTAAGTTTTTTAGAGAACGATTTCATAAAGGGTTCCATAATTTTTCTTGTTGTTTTATATAATGCTTTAAACTATTGTTTAAGATTTAAGAATGTGCTTAAAAAGTTGCAGTTGTCTCTGGGAAAAATAGTCTTAATTTATGTTGACCTTTCTTTCCTTTGAGTATTTAGTCTGCATTCAATAAAATTTTGATGACTGCTCTTTAGAAGACAGCTGTACGATATAAAGTATTATAAATATTCAGCTTTCCTCTTCTAGCATTGCCATTAACAGCTGGGCATCCAGTTCAGCAGAGCAGATTTTTCAGGGAGAGCTTGGCATGTTCCTGAATCAGTATTGTGAAGAAGACTAGAAAATAGTTTCTTATGGTTTGGGGACTTGTAAAGACATAGAGCATCTGTTCCCCAGTTAAGTCATAGTCTGGTAGCATTGAATCATGTTAAGAGCTAAAATGATGGGAAGAAGTACTTTTTTCACCTTGGCTGTACCTGTGTTTAAATGCCTAATACATGGTTTCTACTAATGGCAAAATAATTTCAGCTTCTGCCCAGAAGGTATGTAAAGAACAGTGTACTTGCGTTTGATTTTTTTTTTTTAATTTTTGGTTGTTCGTGTGAGACAGATATTCTGTTTTTAATATAGAGTCCTGCATAATGTGTTCAGTGTCTTAACTGATTT